AGACCTTAAGTAGTCCTAAGAGATACTTTAAGGTCGAATTATACGAGCTCTAAAGTATGATATGGGTAGGCTTAAAGGCTACCCAAGTGAACGGATTCTATGCATAGGATTTGCTTGAGAATTGGACTGTGATAATAAACTAGAGTCGGACTCTAGGATTATATGGAAATGTAGTTGGGCCGAGCCCTTTCCATGTAATCGTGATTAGCATGCAAACATAGTTGGGCCGAGCCCTTGCCATGTATTTGTGATCTTCATGGAAACGTAGTTGGGCCGCGCCCTTGCCATGAAATCGTGGGTTGTATGGAAACGTAGTTGGGCCGAGCCCTTGCCATGCAATCGTGACATGGTGAATTGAGGTAAAGGATTGTATAGAAATGTAGTTGGGCCCAGCCCTTGCTATGCAATCGGGGCTTGATGAAACCGTATGGGGTTGTCGTGGCTTGAGGTCACGAGGAATGGAAATGGTAAATTCTAAACGAATATGGGTCACATGCCGTCTACTTGACTTTATATAAAGTAAGTATATTTTAAAACAGGGTAACCGAGGGTTATGACCTATAATATAATATCACCCTAGATTGAGGGTCTTAGAAATTGAAATATTGATTATATTCAGTGTAGTTGTCATTGTACTTTTCAAATGCTTCAAAGTACTGACCTCTTTTTCACGGGGGAGGCCACCTCACAGTTTCAGGTAGAAGTTGAAGCTTTCTACCGACGCCCGTTGCTTCGGGGATATCTAGGAGAGAAGACGTGTTCGTGCTTCCTCCGTTTCTGTTTTGAAAACAATTATATAAATGCTCATGGATATTAATTTTATGAATAATTATTTGGGGGCTTGTACGCCTATGTTTGCCAAGTGTGGCTTGAACACTTGAAATATTGTTTCCGCTGCTTTAGTGAATATTTTACATTATATTTGTTTATGGATGTACTACGTGTGAATGATATTCCAGACGCCTTGTATAATATGGATGTGTTGGACTGCGGTTGACTATTCGTACTGTACAACGGGTTGTTGACGTGTCCGGGTAGGTCCGGGGCATGACAATTTAAACTTCGGGGGAATCGCAAATCCCATATACCGCCCTAGCCCCTCCATGTATCTCCCTGCAAATTCCCCATTAGCAATCTATAACAACTTTTAACTGTGAATTTACCACTTTTTTGCCTAACCACCATAATCCGTCCTTCCTGTCCTGCAGACTGATAGGGATTCCTAAAATGCACGCCTGATCTTCTTGATTAAACAAATTGCTAATTCGTTCATAACTCCACTTTTTCCCTGTTATATCTCTGAGAGCTGCCACATTCATATCCGGGATACCAACAGGCTTATCTAACGTAATTCTCCCATTCCCCAGCCCGGGTAACCATGCATCAGCCCAAACCTGGACATCAACCACTTTTCCCACCCTTCGCATACTATTAATTTTTAAAATAGCTTTGTCTCAAATATGCTTCTCCAAATAAAAGAAGAATTATTCCCCAACTTAGCATTAAGAATGCTAGAATTAAGATAATACATGGCCCTCATCATGCGGTTCATCAAGCTATCCGTCTCGGTAATTAACCCTCACCCTTGTTTGGCTATTATGGCTAAATTAAATTCTCTTAGTCTTCGGAAGCCCAGACCTCCAGCCTCCTTTCGTTTGCACATTGCTTCCCACCACCGCCATCTCAGCCCTTTCTGTTCGAATTTAGATCTCCGCCACCAAACACCATTCATCAGTTTCTCAATCTCATCACACAAATCCTTTGGTAAGAGGAAAACATTCATGACATAATTTGGCATAGCCTGAACTACATTCCTCAGAAGAACCGCCCACCCTACTCTTGACAAAAAACTATTATTCCAATTCTTAATTCTGTTGAATATTCTATCATGCACGCAGATAACCCAGGATGACAGACTTATTCTTCCCCACTAATGCCGGAAGTCCCAAATACCTACTCTGACCACAATCACACGGTATACCCAACACCTGGCAACACTGTTCCCGGAATGACTCATCCACATTCTGGCTGAACGTTAAAGAAGATTTATTAAAATTCACCCTTGCCATGAGTTCTTCTCATAGCCTTGCAATTTTTTTATCCCCCCACATTTGGCAAATGTAGCTTTAAAAAGCATAAAACTATCATAAGCAAACAATAAATGGGATACCCTCAGAGCCCCTCTACAAACAGTCACTCCGTGAATAGTCCCTCGCGTTTCAGCCATTCTCAACATTGCACTCAACCCCTCGGCCACCAAAATAAATAAGTATGACGATAAAGGATCCCCCTGGCGTAATCCCCTTTGCGGTAAAATGGTCCCAAAAATTCCTTATCAAATTGAACATAATAGTTGATTGAAGATATACAAAGCATAACCAAATCCACCCACCTGGGACTAAACTCCATGCACCCCATAATTTCTTTCAAAAAAGCCCAGCTAACTCTGTCATACTCTTTGCTCATGTCAAGTTTTGTTGCATCAAATCCCTCCTTCCCATAAGATTTCCTCTTCAGATAGTGTTGAGTCTCAAAAGCAACAATAATATTATCAACTATTGATCTCCCAGGGATAAAGTCACTTTGGTTCACGTTAACCTGACCACCAAGTATACCTTTTACCCGATTAGCTAAAATTTTAGAATTTTTTTTATAAACCACGTTACACAACACTATCGGTCTCCAGTCACCCGTATTATCAGGTTTATCTTTCTTAGGGTTTAACACAATATTAGTAATATTTAAATTCCTAGGGAGCACTTCAGTGTCGAAAGTACCTGAACAGAGACTAGCTAGTAACTTCAGGGCCAACAATATCCCATTTTTTTTGAAAATACGCTGGATTTGTCCCATCAGCCCTTGGGACTTTCTCTGGATGCATGTAAGAAATAGAAGATTTAACTTCCTCCTTTGTGATTGCACGCAGAAGGGCCAAGTTCTGGCTTGCTGAAACTTGTGTAAAACTGCCACAAATAGAACCATCCGTAGTCTCATCACCCTGCAAAAATATATCCTCAAAATAATTATGCACCGCCTCTTTAATTTTTGTTCTATCCATGACCCAGGACCCGTCTGCCATCCTCAACCCCATCAATTTATTTTTCCTTCTTCGTTGCTTAACAACGTTATGGAAGAACTTGGAATTTATATCGCCCTCTTTCTACCAAAACTCTTTTGCCCGCTGTTTCCAATAAAGATTCTTTTTCATAAAGAGATTGTATCACTGCTTTAACTCGCATAAATTCAGCCAAGCTAGCCAGATCATCCCTTCCTCGAAGCCATGCCAATCTCTTCTTACACCTTTGGATTTGATGACGAAAACCTTTAGTCCTGCGATTATCCCATCAGAGTACTTCCTCCCCACGAAATATAATTCTTTCACTAACGGTCAAATGAGTGCTTGCTCTCCAACTATTAGACACTACCATCCGACATTCATCTTCTTTGAGCCACATATTTTCAAAATGAAATTTCCTCAATTTCCTTCCATGCAACGTCGGGTTAACCTTAACCCATAGGGCCACGTGATCACTTGTCGGGGCTTCAACCGCCTGAGCTTGGGTTGCCATGAACTTGTTCCACCAGTTATCATTGACCCAGATGCGGTCTAATTTTTCCTCAACCCAGTTCGTCGAGTCGTTTCCTCTGCCCAGGTCCATTTATAGCCATCAAACGGAAAATACCTCAGGTCGCTACCAAAAACAGCCTCTCAAAACCCTCATAACCGCCACCCCAGATGAGGAATTATACCTTTCTTCTCCAATTCATATAGAATGTCATTAAAGTCTCCAATAACCATCCACGGAAGAGAGTTATTTTCCGCCAGTCCTTGTAGCATCTCCCATGCCTCTCTTCTTTCTTCTCGTTTCAGGATATGCATAATAGCACGTGAGCCTCCATTCCGGATCGTCGCTCGTCGCCCCACCGTACAGTCCACATAATTCTGGTGTACTGTATTAATGTTAATCACCGCATCGTCATTCCAGCCCATCACTAACCTCCGCCTACGCCTTCACTATCCATCCCGACACGCTGGTGAAAACCCTGCTGCCACACCACCTCTTTCGCTCGTTGACAGCAAACTTGTGTCTCCATCAAAAAAGAATTGAAGGTCTATGGCTCTGCACGATTTTCGCCACACCCTGAATCATGGCTGCGTTACCAAGTTCCCTGCAATTCCAACTTACAATACTCATGGCTTAAACACAAAGAAACGCCAAAAACACTACTAGGAAACCCTAGAGACAGTCGCCATAAAAAATTCCAAGAGTCTTCCCTTAATAATACAATATACCAATTAATTGTTTGCACGCCACTTGCACATAATGGAGCGGGTTCAGGTATTATTATTGACTCGTGCTACCTTGTCACCCCCCTCTCAATATACAAATGTACATATTTTAAATCATAACACAAATATGAATCTGTGTGTAATAGATCTAATTTTTTTTATCTTTCAATATATTAATATTTATATGTGAATGAGATGAATCATGTAAATGTCCTTTTTATATTTAGCATTTTAAAGATTCACTTATTAATACAAATAGAACAACTATTCAAGTGTAAGTCATTTTTTTTTAATTTTGACACTTTTCATTGTCTTGTGACTTTGATTTACAGAGCATTTGTTTTTATAATTATTTAGAGTTACTCCCTCCGTCCCGGTCATTTCTTTCAATTTTGACCGGTATCGCAAATTTAGGTAGTGGGAATAAAGTGAAAATGTATGGTTGTAGTTGTATAAGAAAAAGGTGAATGAATGTGAACCACATATTTTTTCCAAAAGTGAAAGTTGGAAGAATTAATTGGGACGGCCCAAAAAGGAAAATTGAAAGAAATGAACGGGACGGAGTGAGTAAATCTTATGTAAATTTATGTTATAATGACTTCAAATCGATATAAATGTGTACTAGCTAATTAAGTTACATCGGGGCAGAAATTCTGGACCACTCAAGTGGGGTAGAGGTTATGGGAAAACATAGAATGGTTTGTAATGTCACAAGCGGGGTGGATTCACTTAGTAAAGTCACTAGACGAGTCTGAATATCTATAAGCCAATTTTTCATAAATACGACTCCGTTTGATCAATGAAATTTGCTTGATTTTGTTGAAATTTATAGATTTATTAGTGAAATTTATGTTTTTTTTGGCCTAACATTGCCTTTTTAATTTAATTGCCGATAACTACATTTACGATTCAATTATAATCCTCCGGTATGATCGAAGTTTTCCTCCCGATTAGCGATCGGATCTGTACTGAGAATCCAAGGTGGGGTTTTTTAGGAGGAGAATGGGCAACAGTAGAGGAGGCCCCCCTACTTCCATATCAATGGCGTTTTCTGTGGATGGTTTTGTGAGGGTGGGGTTTTGCCTTTTGTGGGAAAGGGTGGGGCTTTTGCACACAATTTGAGGGTACACATCACTCTCCCTGCTATAACCCCCACAACTCATTATTCATTATTGCACTGCAAAATAAAAGATTTTTAATGAAAAAAGAATCGAAATGATGTAAAGAGGAGCATCCCCTTTCCCTCTCTCTTAACACTTTCTCCCTCAAAAAGCTCACTTGCTTGGTTGGACCTCTGCGCTTCTTTAGCCGTGTGTATTTCTACAAAGATTGAGAGATTGCTTTCTTTGTAAAACAAAATCTCTGGGGTTTTGCATGAAATGTGATTCTTTGATTTGTGCTGTATAGCGAGAGAGAGAGAGATAGAGATAGAGAGAGAGAGAGGGAGGAAGGGGGAGAAAGATGCCCAGACCAGGACCTAGACCGTACGAGTGTGTTAGAAGAGCGTGGCATAGTGAAGATAGGCACCGACCCATGAGAGGTTCAATCATACAAAAGATTTTCAGGTAATGGGCCTTCGTTTCTTGTTTTTTGTTTTGATGCTTTTAGGGTTGTGTTTCTAATGCCGACCAACTGTTTGATCAGATGTGTACACGAGAGACACAGCACTGTTACTAAGAAGAAATCTGAGTGGCAACTAAAGGTTCCAACTGTTGTCTTCAAAGCTGAGGAAATAATGTACTCCAAAGCTAATTCTGAGGTTCGAATTTCTTCTTCACCCTCCTACAGTTTTTGTCAAAATTCTGTTTAAGGATGGGGTTTAAACTCTCCCAAATCAATTAGGCTGAATATATGGATCCTGAAACACTCTGGGATAGGGCTAATGATGCTATTGATGTGATCATTCGGAGGGATGAGAGTACAGAGACTGGGCCGCTTTTACCTCCTTGTGTTGAAGGTACCAATTTATACTATCTCTATGCAATTAATTATAGGGAAATTGTGGAACTCTCCTGTCTCAGGTATAACGGTATTTAGCTGCTAAGTTTCTTATATAGGAATTTCTCTAAGGGTCTGATTGGAACTTGGGAAATGGTGAGGAAGTAATAGGATGAGGAGAATACGCAGGGAACTTGGAAGTAAAGAAAATATGGGGGGATAAAAAGTTTATTACTACGTATATTTTAGATATTTGTTCAAGTTTATTTTATTTAAACATATCTATTTTATTATTATACAAAAGCTAAGTAATCTTAATGTGTATGTAAAATTAATAATACGGAAAATTAGATTAATAAAATCTGATGTTTCTACAATTCTACGTAGTTTCCAAGCTAAAACAAAACGTAGAAAAAGAAACACTTTCCTTGAGATGTTTTTCTCCTTCGCCAACCATTTTCTGTGTTCCAAATAATCAAATATAGCCTATGATGCGTTTTGACTTTTGGATTTCAACTGTTGTCCTGTCCTGTCAATTGGTTTGAAATCAAATTGTCCCTGTGTGGGATGACTGTCCTTATATAAACTCACCGATAGATTTAGTAAAGGTTTGTTTGGCATTGGAAAGTACTATGGAAAGAAAAAGGGTGGAAAAATTCAAAATACGTAGGAAATTTTTAAGGAAAGAAAATTCCGGGAAGATAAAAGATAGACTCAAACTCTAAATTTATTTCATTTTTAAAGGTAAAGCCAAACATGGGAAAACTTTTCTTTACATTTATTCCTTCCCTAGCAATTCCACCATTTAAACAAACTTAATCCATATAAACTGTGACCTGAAATACATGTTTTTCCCTGTCATGGACTTTGGCATGTTCAGCTGCTCTACTTCTTGGCTGTGTTGCTGAAAGGACATCTCGGAGTGAACGAAACAGTAAACCCAGAAATTACTTACCCGCAAGTACTCAAGAGTTTCGCCCTATGTCTCCCAAAGTGACCAATCAAAGAACAAATGATCATAACTCAAACTCCCTGTCTCCCAGTTCTGCAAGCCGCCCTACCTTTGGAAGACCTGCACTTAAGAATTTGGTCACTTTGGCTTCAGAGTCAAACAAACCAGGACTACCTAATACGTTAACTATGGGTGCAGTGTATCCTTTGTATGAAGGCGCTGACTTCCCTCCTAGAGCCTCACCCTCGAGCTTTAATGGGCCTAAAACCCCTCAAAGCAATATGATTAGCGGCAGACCAATTTATCCAGAAGTCAACCATTTCCAGAGTTTTCCCTCTAAACCTGTTGGAAATGGTGCTCAAAATGAAAAAACAGTCCTCAGTGGTGCTCCCCAGGAAGAATGTGATTTGTCTTTGAGGTTGGGTCAGTCTTTAGACTGTGGTTTGCATTTGGGGAACACTTCAGTTGGGCCAACTGATGATCCCAATGAAAGAGGCAAGTCCAAGGTTATATCTGCTGCTAATGAAAGAAAATGTTGCTTCTTTAGAGCCGAATCTACAAAGGAGCCTTCTAGATTCTCTATGAGCTGGTGGGACCCTGAGGTAGAAGGTAGAGATGTGGGTTTGATTTCCAGGAAGCGTAAAGAAGCTCCCACTTCGAGTCATTTCACTGGTCAACTGAAAAGACCAGGTTTGTAAACAATCAACATGTATGTTGTATTATAAAGTTTTGAGGAAGAATTTTTTTTGGGTGGCCCCCAATGCTTTCATCCAAGTTCTGCACATGATGTTAGCAAGGAGAAAGCAATAGTACTAGATGAGAACATATGCTGGAAAGAAGATACTTCTTAACACATTAGGGCCAGTTCGGATCAAGGGGTTTTGGAAGGAAAGACTTGGATGGCTGTCTCTGTCTTGAAAAATACGAGGGATTGGACTCTACACCCCATTTTTCATCGAAAGTTGGGTTTGCACCCCATTTTCAAAATCAATAATATTTGCACCCTAAAGTGGAAAAAGCGGTTTAAAATGGGGCAGACTCCAATTTGAAAGAAAAAAGGGGTGTAAACTCTTACGGAGTATCTTTAGAGTGCAGCTATTGATGATTTTGAACACATGTGCGGACTCAAAATTTGATGAAAATATGAGGTGTGAACTGACTGAACTCCAATTACCCTGCACATAATTTTTCTGAAATAAATAGATGGTGAGTGAAGTGTTTGATCACATATGTGTTACTCTTTCACTATTTATAAAATCTCAAATATGTGCCAAGATATAAGCCCTTACCTCTCCAAAATCCTCTATGGCCCCATCCAAGCTGACCCTCAGTCCACTAACTTATTACACTCTATTGATTGAGGATGTCCTTCACCATTGTTTTACAAGTCCGGTGTCATGATGTTCTATAGATTACCAAACATTTCTTGTTAATGTAAAGTATTGTATTAGAGCATTGTGAAGTAATTACATATTACATGTAGAACATTTGAAGTGGGTTTCAGTGCCAGCCAGCCAGGTTTCTATAACCAATTAGTTTACTGTGTTTGTACCTTTCAAGTTCTTCTCATAGTCTCATTAACACAGCAGGAAGGATTGTTTTATTCTAATTTATCTTTGCTCAAAATTATGTATTTATATGGAGTTTATTTTATTTCATTGTTACTTTTCTTTCAAACACCAGAAACATGTGGTCTAAAGAACAAATAATAAAAGAGATGACACTTCCCATTCAAGTCAAAACATCCCAACCGAACAGTGACTTGGGCCCTCCTGTTACTCTGTTAGACTACGGCACTAAGCTAATGACCATGGCTGGCTGTGTTTTTCACGCCCTTTTATTAAGTTTTTATGAATCATACGTAGAGACCGTTTGATAAACCATATTGTTTATTAGTCAACTTTTTCGTCAAATACATAATTTTTTATTCCGCGCGTTGAATTGTGTAATAATAAAAATAACTATGGTCGTAGTTACTTTTGTTGGATTAGTTAAAACTATTGCAGATAATCATTTAACTATTTTTCATATAATTTTTTCTTTATTTTATTAATAAAATACAACCTCCATTCTTAAATAGTTTTAACATGTTGAAATTTAGATTATTCACATGTTCTACTCCGACTACATTTTATTGTTCAATTCCTCCCATTATAAATCCGATTTTTAATAGCGAATGAAATATATAAATGGTCAAAGTTGTACGTTAGTAAATGTGAAAATCAAAATTTCGCAATTAAAAAAGAACGAAGGAAGTAGAGTTTGATTCAAATAAAAAGGAGTCTTAACGTGTTAAATGAGAATTATTCCGAACTGAACAAATTTTTAATCCGATGCACAATAATCATTATCTAATGCACTGTGCATCAAAACTTATCTGATGCACATTTCGAAAAAATGCATCAAATAAGTTTTAATGCACAGTGCATTAGATAATGATTATTGTGCATCAGATTGAAAATTAGGATGTCTCAGATTAATTCTCATTTTAGATGTTAAGACTCCTTTTTATTTGAACCCTCCCTTTCGGAAGTATATCTTAAATATGAAGTATAGGTTTTCCATAATTTAGTATAGATTCAGGCCAATTTTAATTCTATGAAGCGAGCTCATAGTAAAAGTATCCACTATAATGAACTATGTAAAGAAAAGGTATAACGACGATAAAAATTAGTTCCTACTTCATACTACCTCCGTCCTTTAAAACTTTGCCAAAGTTGACTGGCATGGAGAATAATAAAGTAAAAACTATGTGGGTAAGGTTTGTGCAGAGGAGAGAGAAATAACAGAAACCACAAAATAATTAATTAAAAAGGAAAATGACAAAGTTTTTTGGGACGTTCCAAAAAGGAAAGATGACAAAGTTTTAAGGGACGGAGGGAGTATCAAATAAGTTAGTACTTAAATACAAGTAGAACTATAACTCTAAGTAAGTAAAACATTCAACTACAGAGAGCTTCAAAATTAATACTTTGTTGCATCTTATGCAGTTATGCTTGAACTTCAAAAACTTCTTAAATAGGCAAATAGCTACACATAAAGTAAAGATAGAATGGCAAAAGTATTAGTTGTGGGGTTTTGAAAGACAAATATATGACCATTTTATTTTTTTCCAAAAAAGTAACCAATTAATAGGCCCTCTCCCCCATCCCTGCACAAATAGCCGCTTCTCCATCTTCGCACAAAATAGCCGCACCCCCCTCTGTCAACCAGAGCTGCATCTCCATCGCGGCAAGCCAGATCCGCACCTCCATCGCCGCACGCCAAAGCCGAACCACCATCGCCGCAGAGCCTCCATCATCGCTATCGTTCGACCGCCGCACCTCATTCGATTTCGATCCCAGGGCGGCGAAAACGGGCTGGCAGCTAGGGTTACTGGCAGAGCTTATTGGATGACGGTTGGAGGCTAGGGTTCGCGACTGTGGGTTGGGGGCTAGGACGGTCGTTTGGGGCTGAGGGCAGGGGGCTGGGGCAGGTCCGGTGGTGTGGCGCAGGGCTGATGGGGATGGGGCAGGGCTTGTGGGGTTGGGGTGTCAAAGGTAGGGTTGGGAAGGGGTGGGTTGGAGCTGGGCTGTTCGTAACCAGAGCCGGGGGTGGGGCAGGGGAGCAGGGCAGTGGAGCAGGGGAGGGGTGCTGGGGAACTGGTGCTTAGGGCTAGGTGCAGGTCAAGGGCGGTGGTGGGGTTTCCGAGGCGATGGTGGTGGGTTAGGTTGTGGCTGGGGCAGGGGGCTGAGAGCTGTGGACTGGAGGGGAGAAGGAGAGGGGCTGGGGGTATGGGGCGCAGGTTGTTTCGCCCACAAAGGCGGTGTCTTGTGACGGGTGGCGATTTGGATGTATTAATTTTCACCGGGAAAATCGCCGAAAGTTTTTCCAGTGAGCAAAGTGACATGTTTTACCGATAGTGACATCTGTTAAGTGACACGAAATTGATAGTGATATCTCTTAAGTGACACGAAAATTGACAGTGATTTCATGTTTTCCAAAAATATGACCTTCTTAGTCACTTTTTTGTCCTCCTACAAAAATGGTCACATTTTTGGAAATTGGTTAAAATTTAGTAATATCCAAGACAAAACCCCTAAAGTAAATGATCACACCCAATGATACTATAAATCTAATTTAAAATGTAAATGAATATCCAGAATTGTCAAAATGGAAATTACAATGTGACCATATTATCATATCATTACACAATCAACGAACCAAACATATACGTAAATTATAAGCTTTTCACAATTTAAGCCAGGGATGGAGGTTTGATGAGTGATGAGTGATGTGTGAATCTGTAATGTGGCTTTTCTAGTTTGTATCATTTGGTCCAAAGGTTAAATGCCCAACCCCAAGGTCCCACCCTTACCCGACAGGATGGTGGGAAGGTTAATCACGGTGACTCAGTCAGCAACGCGGCGGTAGGAAACTAATGTATGGGTAAACTTTTTATACTGACTAGCTTCACTGCTTTCACGGTCCCTTACCCCAGAAACCCAACTTTGGCTTGGCCCTACGGGTTAGTATACATCGCTTGGGCCTACCACTTGAAGGGTTTTTTGGGGGAGCATAGTACCACTGGTGCTAGTGAGACTCGAACACGAGACCTCTCCTAGTCTATGCAGGGGTAACCTTACAACCAGCTAGACTGGAAGTTCTGGTTTCTAGTTTGTATCATTGCACGATACAAATAATTTTGTGCAAATGCAGATGAGTTATTTGTGTACAAAAGAGGTGACTGGTCTATAAACAAAGAGTATACACCAAATATTAGTTTGGTACTCCATCCCTCAAAATATGTCAAGTTTGACCGCCATGAGAAGTAAGAAAGTAAACATTGTGTGTGTCACTGTGTGGTTGATGTTTGTGCAAAGAAAAGAGAAATCATAGAAATCACAAATTCCTAAAAAGTTTTAGGGAGAATAAAAAGGAAAGATGACAAACTTATAAAAAACAGAGTATATAATTAATGTTTTTCACGAGCATTAATTTTTCACATGTATACTTCATACATACATGGTTAATTTGAGATGTAATTCCATAAATAATGATTGTATAAAAGCGTGTATAAATGTTATTTTCCAAATTGATATGGGCTGCTTGAATGTTTTCCTAAGCTATTTTCTTTTAAGGTGATCTTTTCACATATACTCCGTATTATTTATTCGTATTCTTATTTCATACAAGATCACAAATTTATAAATGATCAGCTAAGAAACATGCAAAATAAACAAGAAGCTTTCAAGTTTCAAATCAGATTTTAGAATGAATTTAATTTAAAACCAAAATAAAATCAATCATGCTTCGTATACACGTGTTTTATACACACCATTTTACACGCCGACCGAATTGTCTGTCCATAGACAATTTAGCCAGAGTGTAAAATGGTGTGTTCAAAAAATATACACAAACAACATTTTCTAATTAAAATAGACCTAAATTATGAGATTTGTTTGGTCTTTCTTCACTTATTTATTTACATTGATAAAAACCGGTCCATACCTTCTTACTCCTCAAGGGTTGTTGAACATTGTCAGCATTTTTACACGGAAAAATGTTCTTTGTAACATAATTTTTCATTAACATAGTTCAGATGAGAACTTGTACTTTTTGCTGTTGTCATTTCAATTTCCATTATTTTAGCATGACCGTGTTAATTATAAAGATAATTGTAGACTTTTGAACTTTTTTTGAAAAAAACACACCTCATCCCTGAGGCCCCCAACCCCGATCGGACGCTACGTTGAGAGGATGTAAATTGGACCATAGTCCCAATCTGACAGATAGAGAGTGGAACTCTGTCCCCGGTACTTGCAGAGATCCTATATTTTTTGCATTTAGAATAATCACCTCTCATCACAGTTGCCGAGATTCGAACCCGAGACCTAACCCTCGTGGCACTCCCTCGTCGCTGCAGCTACGCCAACCCGTAACTTTTATTTTTTTGAAGAGACTTTTGAACATTTGTTTGCTCTTAGAACTTAATAAATTTTGGAATATAGTGGTAGCTTGTCTGTACATTTCCAGTTCTAATATAAAGTTCCATAAAGATGTAATGTGCTTGAAATGGTAAGGTTCCTTCTTTAATGCTCTATTATTGTCGGCTCTTTCTTAATCTTTTTAGATCATCTATTGTCTATTGATACCACCCTCTGCCCTGGAATGACCTCATGCTAGAAATGTGGATGCTGCTTTTTACTTGCAGGAATGATCAGTCACTTTAGCTTAGAGTAGATTACTATTACACATATTTTTGGTGATAATATCCCTAGTGTGTGGGTATCGATTTATGACAATAATGTAAATGGATTTACCGTGTCAATTTTAAGTTACAACAGGATGGATCGAGGACAATTACACATATAATTGTATCTATCCCGTGAAGTAATTTCTCTTCCCTCTTATCCATGAGGTTATTTTCATTGGTATACGGAGTATTATACTACCTTCGTCTCAAAAAATTTTGTCCTTTTTAAAACTTTAACCGACTATATCTTTCTATTGAGAATTATTTATAATATAAAAATTATATGAAAAATGTTCTTTGTTAAAATTACTTTCATAAAAGTATAAATTTTTTAACTTCCATAATATTATACGAAGTACATATCAAAATCAAGGTTCAAATTT